CTGCTAAATAGTGAATTTTAAATGCATGATTAAAAATTTTTTTTTTAAATCATCCTGTAATACTCAAATCTGCATCAAATATACAAGTATGTGTAGACAAATGCTTAAACATAAAAAAACCATTTTAGCACCCTTTTTTTATTCAGAACCTGTGGCTTCTTGATATAATACTATTTGCCATTATGTAGATAGAATGTTAGGCTCTTAGAACTGGGTTTTATCTCCTTCTGTAAATCTAACCACTTAAAAAATAAAAACAGAAGAATCCTAAGTGAGAGCAGTATAAACTACCTTCTACCATTAGGCAACCATTTCCCCTGGGCTTTATAATTCAATCAGCCGGGCTGAATGTCATCATTGCTTTTCTCCTCCTCCCCTTGCTTACGTTCTCTGATTCTTAAGATCACACTGTTTATACCTGTTCATTTCTGCCATGAACATATTTTCTTGACATGTAAAACCTCTATTTAAAACATGTTATCGTTTGCTCCGGTTGCGGTAACATACCCGCGGTCAGGCAGGACTCGCAGGATGGGAGGATGATACATGTCATTTGAGCTTCGCAAACGAAAGCTTATACGATGACTGTGGATTATTGACTTTTGGTATCATGTAGGACTGCTACTTCTTTTAAAATAGTAACTCCTTATTTCTGTTCCTGCCTTGCCCCTAGGTTCTTCATGACCATTTTTTGTTTTTTTAGATTCCATATATATGTGTTAGCATACGGTATTTGTTTTTCTCTTTCTGACTTCATTCTGTATGACAGAATAAAGACGCAGACCTACTAGAGAATGGACTTGAGGACACGGGGAGGGGAAAGGGTAAGCTGGGACAAAGTGAGAGAGTGGCATGGACATGTATACACTACCAAAGGTAAAATACATAGCTAGTGGGAAGCAGCCGCATAGCACAGGGAGATCAGCTCGGTGCTTTGTGACCAGCTGGGGGGGGTGGGATAGGGAGGGTGGGAGGGAGGGAGACACAAGAGACAGTAGATATGGGGATATATGTGTACATATAGCTGATTCACTTTGTTATACAGCAGAAACTAACCATTGTAAAGCAATTATACTCCAATAAAGAAGTTAAAAAATAAAAAAGTGAGGCAAATACCCCCCCCAAAAATAAAAAAATAATAACTCCTAACAATAATGTTTAAAGGTTTCCGATGCCTTTAAAATAGAAAGGTTCATGCTTTAGCCAATGCCAGCATTAAGGCAGCACCCTGAAATGGCAAAATGTTAGAAAAAATGTATATAAACCAGCAAATGTGCCTCTAAATCTGGTCACTTCATTTTTCTGTAGGAAAATGATTTATTTCTTTTTTGACTCCAAATTCTTATGAAAATTTTTTTTTCTATTTTTCTCCCTTTTGACTTCTTAGATTACATTGCTTTCTTCTCAATACAATGCCTTCACTCTTTTCTCAACTCCATCCAGTAAACACACACACACACACACATCATTCACACATTTTCTTTTTCTTCCTAAATTGAGACAGCTGTTTTCAATAAACATAGACCTGGCTCTAAATTAGGTGCTATTGGAAATTGTCATAAACTCTGAAATTATTTCCAAGTATTTAATTCACTTCCAGGAATAGCTGGTTTATATTTTATAAATTTCCTAGGTAAGGCACTGATTCCCTTAACATGAATGGACGTTTCTGTACATATAATAAAATAACGACCTGAGATTTTTATGCCTTACTCTTTAAAAATGCAGAGGTAAATGTGAACAAAAATAAAAACACTTTTAAAAAGGTAACGATTTCCTTTCTCTGGGGCTTCACTGGCCATTTCATTTAAGAGGCAGGATTCATCAGTGTTCTAGTTTATTTCTCTTCTTGAGGAGGCTTTTTCTGTTTTGCTGATTTGGGATTTGGGTTATCTTTAAGACAACTGTCAGACTTCAGTATCTTACTGACACTGAGAAGGACTCAGCTGTCCTGTGTCTTTTTCTGTAAAATGTCGTGGTGACCAGTGTAAGCAACTTGTTTTTATTGCTGGTTATATTCACTTTTTTTTCCTTTTTACAGTTTTATTGAAAAATAACATGCAGAAAAGTATAAATATCTTAAGGGTAGAGCTCAATGAGTTTTCCACAAATGAGCACCCTGTGTAGCCACCACCTAATCAAGAAACAGAACATAACCCGTTTTGGGGTAGTTTTGGGGGAAAGTACCTTTTAAATTCTATTATATGGTTTCTATTTTGTTGATATTTGCTCTTTTTTAAAAAAGAGACTTTATGCAGAAGTTTTAGTTTCACAGCAAAAATGAGGTTCACTTTTAATCTTGATAAATAGTCCTGGGAACTATAAGCATTTTCTCATTGGCTTTCACGTTTTATATTTTGTCCTCAAGTATGTCTCTGAGCAGTATGATAAATGCACTAGACCTGCTCTACACCTTGTGGAATGATCAGTATTTTCCAACATGGTGTCCTCTGGTTTGACACTCCTGGTTGTAAATAATCTCATGATGTTGATGGACATCCAACTATAACAGCTGCCAGACTCCAGTGTTCATAAAAGTATAAGGCACCTTGCACATTATTAGTTAATACAGACTTCTTGGGGAGGAGAATTTTCTTGCACTGCGTCTCCCTGTTTCACTGATGATGATGTGGTTACTGACCTCCTTGTAGACCCTGCTATATGCCTATGTTCTTGCAAGACTCTGCCTTGCAGCTGCCTAGACAAAACTTGGGAATATGGACCGTGTGACAATCAAACTGGACAATGCCATGCTGGTTTTATTTAGCTCTGCAGAGAGCAGTATTTCATAGGACCATTTGCTGGTACCTATGCTCTGAAACCCTCCAACCTCAATACGAAGAGTTACCCTTTACACACACATTCTGTTTGGCTTATCAACTGTGTGATTCTACCTGAGTCCTCAGTTCCTTTTTTCCCCCCCTGCTGGGAAACTAGCCTAAATGCCAAAAAGCTGTCATTAAATTCATGTTATCTTTGTTATCTTTCCTTACATCTGGTAACCCTCAAATAACTGTATAGAGAGGTTAGTCATCCCTTATCATATCAGTTGTAGATTGTTAGAAACACAAGGTATTGAGGCATGGAGGAGGCTGAGGCCCTGAGCTTATGTACCTGTGGTCAGTGCCCTGCATCTCTGTCCTTCAGAGTTGCATGTAAAGCTTCACTAACTGCAGTCAAGAGTGAAAATCAGTACTTTCTCAATGTGTACAGACAGAATTCTTTTCTTACATCTATTTGTAGAGGCTTCGTAGAGCCTTGCATCCTTGGCTGTCCTTGGTGTCCCTTGGCCTGTGGCTCCATCACCAAATCTCTGCCTCCGTTGTCACATGGCTTTCTTCCCTTCATATCTGTCTCCTTATGTCCAGATTTCTCTCTTCTTATAAGGACACCAGTCATTGGATTAGGACCCAAACTAATTCAGTATAACTTCAGCTGAACTTGAATACATCTACAAAGATATTTCCAAATGAGTTCATATTCACAAGTACTAGGATTTAGGAAATCAATTGGGAAAGACCAATTTAACCTGCAACACTTGGTAATCTATTGGTTTAAATCCAAAATTTCAGGGCCATGATTTATTCTAAGAACATTAAGTCCAATAAATTAATATATTTAAACCAGTCACTGATTTTATTTGGAGGAAACTATGCATTTGCATTTGCCAAGTGAGTGTCTGTTAATTTATTCCTATTTTGCACGTGACTTCAACTGCTTCTTTATCTTCAATACCTCCTGCCTCTTGACAAAGATCAGCAATGCCTGATAAGATTAAACCACTTTTTCAAAAGGAGTTTACATCCACGGAGAAGCAGAACTGCTAATTATTGATGAATGTGTAAAGATACTTTTATTTCATGTAATGTGGCCTAGTGTGAGTTAATTACTGTGCAGGTAGCCTTAACTCCAAGGCAGGACGTGACAGATGTTTTAGATTCAAGGACGACAGAAATACCCCTTCAATAGTGGTGAGCTATACTATCGCTAACAGTAGATCAACACCATTAGACTCCTATGGTTGGTTGTTAATTAACTGTTACAAAGGTAGGTTTGTTGCGGAAATTAATTAATGTAATCATGACGTAAACGGGGTGGTTTTGGATTCAAAACTGAAAAATGAAGCAGCTCCTTTTTGGTTTTGAACAAGACGTTATTTTATTAATATGTATCATTTTTCTAAAGTATGGATATTTATATTAAACTGATAGGGAGTGGAGGGCAGATACACCCCTAGATGCCTTTAAACAACTACTACTTTAGCAATTCTGTATGGTTCCAATAAGAATTATCATCTCAATTTTTTAAAAAATCACTATTTAATATACTATGTTATAATACCTTAATTTAAACTTGTGACAAGGTTGATAAAAATATCAGCTTAGATTTTTACATGTAGAAAAGGAAATAACATGTTACATGATTATACACATACTTAATGTAGAGCTGATAAATATAAATTTTTATAATCATAATCGTCTTCTTATATTTATATCCTGCTCCTACTGAGATGAATCTCTGGTTACATTTACATATTGAATTAGAAAGTTAAAACTAATGATGGGATCAATTATGCCCCATACTGAGCTGTGCACTTTGGAATGACTTTGAGAAAACAGGAGGGTCAAAAAAAAAAGCATCCACAGTGCGTAGTAGTTTCAAGATTATGCTAACAGATAAGCCAAGGAAGGACTGTAATGGACAATAATGTGTGTTTGTCAAAGAAATCAGGCTTTTTGGTAGAAAACCTAAAGCACATTTCGAATATAAACATTTCTGAGAATTGGAAAATATATAGGCTGGGTCACAGAAGTTGCTAAACAGTTTATTTAAGGTAGAACATATATAAGGGCAAATGTAGTATGAATCCCTTTATGATCTTGTTGGTTTGTTCTTGTAATTCTTTAAATATATTTGCTGTATCTTGGGCAAAATATAATCTGCTTCATGTTTGCTGTTGCCATGCAAAATTTGATAGTGTCCTCTTTCTCCTTTCCTAGCTGCATAATAAATGTGCTTCTCATCTGAAACCTGAATGTGACTGCGGACCTTTGAAGGACCATATTTTACCACCTACAGCAATTTGTCCAGTGGTACTGGTGAGTTTTTCCTTCTCATCATTCTGCTATAACTTGGGGTGTCTGTGACTAACTGGTACACTCTACCACTCACTGCTTCCAGAGATCATTTTTCCATTGATCAAGGCAGAACTCAATAGACCTAAAATACCTCATGGCTTCAGAAAATGCCCCTTTGCCCACTATATTTCCTTTTTCCTTCGTGGCACACTAAACGTCTTAGTAAGGTATGCTGTAACTGAAGCTGACTCAGGTTTTATCACTTAGTCATGCTGTAGTTACCAGAAATTGTATGGGAAGAACACTTCCACATTTTACATGTTTTATAGATCTGGCTTCCCAGAATAATGAAGTTATTCTTATGGACAGTTTTGCTGGAGATGCACATTATGTATCTGCAGTCGGGAGGTCTTTCACCTAAGTCAGAGGCTACTTAGAATGAGGACACACACCTTGAAGAGAGTTACGCACTGCCATTAGGTGTATTTTATCTTTCATTAGTGAACAATAAATTCACCTGCAAAATAATTCCTTGATTTAATAAATATACAAGGGAAAAATGTGTAAGTGAGGTAATCCTGAAAAGAACAAATCTTGATAGAAAGAGAAGCAGCTATTCAAAGATAATATTCATATTACATTTCAAAATCCAAATTTTTTCTAAAGTGAAACAGTTATTTTACAAAACAAACTATCATATCTATAATGCAGTTCTCATTTTTTTAAAACAACATGGAAGTTAACTAGCTGGAACTTCAGTTTGATATAATAAAAATACAACAAGTAAGAAATGTTAGACAAATACTTTTCTAAAGGTCAACTTAGAAATTAATCAAATTACTCAATTTGCACCCACTTATGATTCATTTTGTAATTATCTGTAAAATGCTGGTTGTATCTAAATTCCTTTATTTAAAAAAAAGAAAACTCTCTTCTCAAACTGCAAATATAAAGCAGAAGTAAATACCTCCATGGGGCTGAGGAGAGCAGTAACTAATTCTAAATTTCCTTTCTTCATGTAAGATATATTATACATCTTGTAGTAAATAAGATTAATTAAAAATAATGAGAGCCATATTAAAATACATTTTAGATGAATTTTGGTATTATGTTCTTTTGTAGTGTTTTCTTAAAGAGAAAGAACTTATAAAATTTTTATATATTTGCATTCTCTTTAAGAAGTGTAGTAATTTTACTGTTTTAGATGCATCCTTGTGCTCAGATTTTAACTATAAGAAGAAATCTATTATGTCATTCTATTATCCAGCTATCTAGGTATAAAGCCCTGTTCAATTCAGTGAGACTACTTCTTCGGCCTACTTATATCAACCTCTGGTCTTATAAGTTCAAACATGAGATATATTCTTTTATTATTCCATCCTTGCTTTCTTTGAGAGAATCAAAGGTAAAGAACATGGGTTAAATGAATAGTCCTGTCTCTAACAACCTTGCAAACTCTTTCATTGCTTTTGTAGATTCTTTTGATTCTGAAGATTTATTTTCACTCATTAAATCTTCCTGTGGTATTTATCATGATTTGTAGCTCGACAATTGCTACGTTATCATTTCCTTGGTACTATATACTCTGAAGTATTAGGCACTGCTAACCACCTCTTCTTTCATGAGTGTCTGCCTTACCTTGACACCCATTATACTATCGTCTCCTTATTCTTCTTCTGCTTCTCTGGATACTTCCTTTTAATATCTTTCCTAGCTTTCAAGATTTCAACCTGCCCCATGTTGGCTCATCCGTACGCCCTGCCCTCACATGCCACAGCTTTCTGCTCTTAACATTTTTCCCAGCAGGATCTTGTTTATTTATTTATTTCATTACCGTATTAATTTATATTAAGTTCCTCCTCCTATTCTGAATCTCAAGTGCTGAAACCTGGAGGTTCCATGTTGTTTATGTGCCTGATATGTTATCATTATTATAAGTAATCACAGCAACTTATTTACTGAGCACATATACTATACCAGCTACTATGCTAAATATACTAATCCATTCAAAAAGTATTTGTTGAATGTCCAGTATGTACCCAGTAGTATTAACCGTAGAAGGAAAAACAGTGAAAACCCAAATCAAATCTTTGCCTTCATAGAGTCTTCATTCCAGTGGAGTGAAATAGGCAATAAACAAAGCAATAAGTACAGTATTTAGTACCTGGTTATATTAAATTACTGGTGGTATGTAAAGCTTAAAGGACGAAATTAAAGTAGGAAAAGAAGAGAAGAAATGCTGGAACTACAATTATAAAAGAAGTAGTTAAGAGGTCACCAAGGAAATAATTGAGTAAAGAGTTGAGGAATGTGAGGGAGTCATCGATGTGACTCTCTGGGGCCAGCACTTTGTAGACAGAGGAGTCACCAAAGAAGGACAAGCAAAGACTCAGAGGCAGGAGAAGCCTGACATAGCTGAAGTGCATCAAAGAAATTAGTGACTGGGTCTCCTTCTGCAGGGGGAATACTAGTAGAGAAGGTGAAATATGTCTTAAGATTTTCATATGTGTAGAACAATTTAGGCTATTCTAAGGTCTTTAGCTTTTCTTGTGAAAGAAGTTGGAAGCCATTAGAGGCTTTTGACCAAAAGAGAGAGTGATCTGACTTACATGTTTAAAAGAACAATCAATCTAACTGGTGTGTTCAGGGGGTAACAATGGAAAAAAGATATGACACTTAGATTTTCTTAGAAAAGTAGGAAGGTGGGTCATTGCTAAGAGCAAAGATGGTATGAGAGTTTTGAGGATCAGGAATGAGTTACACACGAGTCACCTGGGAGAGTGGGAGCTACGTGGATCAAGAAATACCATATGATTGCCAGGGAATAAAAAAGTCTCTTCCTGTTAATAACTGTGGATTTAGAACAAGATCAGTCAGCTTGGATGGGTATATTTCTCTGGTCATATTTAGTCATATTTCTCCAGTTAGATTCTAGGCCCAGGAGTAGAATAGGCATGGGGCAGCCTTAATGAGACTGTGTTTTGCCCAATATGATGAAATGAGAGAAAAGCAAAGGAGTTGAGAGTATGAGCAAGGGAGTAATTATAGGGATTGGCCATGGAAATTAAGCTGGGAAACAAGGAAGTAAGGACATGAAGAGTGAAGTACAGTAAGGGGTGTTAGGAAAATACATTGTGGATTACAATGGAATCAAAGATTGTTTGGGGGCTTCCCTGGTGGCACAGTGGTTGAGAGTCCGCCTGCCGATGCAGGGGACATGGGTTCATGCCCCGGTCCGGGAAGATCCCACATGCCGTAGAGCAGCTGGGCCTGTGAGCCATGGCCGCCGAGCCTGCGCGTCCGGAGCCTGTGCTCTGCAATGGGAGAGGCCACAACAGTGCGAGGCCCGCGTACCGCAAAAAAAAAAAAAAAAAAAAGATTGTTGGAATCAAGGTTTTTGGTGTCAAATTACAAGAATGAGTGAGGTAACAAACAGTTGAGATTATGAAGGGTTTGCAGTTATTGATAATGATTTGTATGAATTAATTTAATCATCACAGCGGCACCATAAGGTAAATATTGTAACTATCTCTATTTTACCTATGAGGAAACTGAGAAACAGATTAAGTAATTTCCTATGTCACATGGCTATGAAGTGACAATTCAGGACCGGAACCCAAGAACGATCGGAACCCAAGACCCAGAGCTCATACCCTGAGCTCATCATTTCTGCCCTTTCTCCAAATCCCAATACAGGCCTTCTCCTATTTGCCTTCTCTAGAACCTTCATTCCCCAACTTTCCCAAGCCAGAAACCTAAGAATTATAATTGGTGCCTCATCTTGAATATCAAATTAATCATTAGACAGCCTATTCTGATGTTCTTTCTCTTTTCTTCAGCCCAACTGTAACTGTCTCATATGTCACCCAAAAATTGTTCTCCAGAATTCTCCAAGTGCTAATAGCATAATCTCTGAATTTCCTCTTTTCTTTGCATTCTCGATACTACTCCCTGGATCCACTTTCAAAAATACAATAAAATATTTTCATTCTTAAATATTTAAAGTATTTTAAATCAATGCCAAACTCTCTAGCATGGTAAACAAGGCTCTTTAACTGGATCAACCCGTCTAATCCCTCACACACCACCTTACACACTAGAATCAAGGATTTGAACTACTTGTAATTCTGTAAGTACACCTGCTCTTTGAAGTCCTTGTGGTTTTGTACATGTCAATAAATTAGCCTAAATCACTTTACCTTGCTGCCTTGCTAAGTAGAAATTAAAGTTTACTTTCCAATCATGGAATAAGTACATTGACTCTTAAACTCATTAACTGTTTAAATACTAAAACTTTAAACAAATTAATAAAGTTGTTTTGCACACAAAATTACTTAATATGCTACAACTGATGGGCTTGGGAAGTTTTTCAATTTGTGAACTCTCATTAACTTCCCAGGAATGATTTCACACTGTATCACCTGCTGTAAATTTTTAAAATTTCATTGAAGGAAAATAGTCCTCACAAATAATATGAGTTTTTCATGATCATGTTCTCTAAGAAGAGCAGGTGAGTTTCAAACTCAATTATTGCAAAGTGGTCATCAATATCATTTCTAGCTTATTCTAGAAAATGTGAAATGAAGAACTTAAGACATAAGATTTTATTGAAGTTTTTTATCCCTTACTTTTGATCCTGTGGTCAGGAATTGGTTATTCAATGAGCAATATAAACTCATTACAGATCCCTTTTTGCTGGTTGAAGCATTTTAATGACACACTTTAAGGTCGAGGTCCATAGCAGCAGTCTTCTTATATTTCAGAACATCTCTTCAGGTATTATTTTTATTTATTTATTGTTTAAAATTTCTGTACCTCTCTTTTCATCCCTCAATCCCTCCTCAACACTTATTAACTTTAATGATTCAATACGTATGTGCTCACCTGTTATGAAGATTAGCAAGGTCAGCATCTTCTTTGCACTGATGACCTGCTTTTATAAGCATGCACTAAAATAGGATTCCACAAATAATTAAATAGGATTCCGCAAATAATTTGTCTTGATGGTGCTTATGGCCACA